CGCTATGTGGGCCCTTCATTTCTGATAAAGTGGTTAGATCAAACATCTTAAAATGCACCATTTTAAATACTCTGGGTTGCCTACTTTTGAAAATGGTATGCCATAATAGTGGAAATGTTATTACCCAGGCTGCCATGCTCTCTCAAAGGCGAAATAGGCCCAGGAAATCACTTTGTCAAATTTCCAACTTTGAAATGGACATCTAATATATTTGTCCCTGTGACTTCCCAAAAAAAACTGAAAATCTGGTACATGGGGGTACTGTTATATTCAGGAGACAATGCAAAAAAAAAATAGTGAGGCTTTGTTGCAATAACTCATACCAGGTATAGGAAATGTCCTGTGAAGTGAGTTTGTGTGTGGAAAAGCACAAATAAAACTATTACCGCTATGTGGGCCCTTCATTTCTGATAAAGTGGTAAGATCAAACATCTTAAAATGCATCATTTGAAATACTCTGGGTTGCCTACTTTTGAAAATGGTATGTCATAATAGTGGAAATGTTATTACCCAGGCTTCCATGCTCTCTCAAAGGCAAGATAGGCCCAGAAAATCGCTTTGCCAATTTTCAATGTGTAAAACCAAAAATGGACAAGCGTATTTTTGACCTTGTAACTTTCCAAAGCCCATTAAAACCTATACCGTGGCACTCGTGAGACATCACTGAACAGAACTACGAGTGTTTCAGGGCAGTAAACTATATACTGACAATAATATTATCAGTAAAAGTACAGTTTTTCTGTGAAAAATGCAAAAAAAAAAAAAAAACGAACACTAACTTTGGCTAGCATTTGTGCCCAAGTGGCTACTACAAAAGACTGGCCATACCCCATTTTGAATACCCTGGGATGTCTACTTTTTCAAATGGTATGCCATTAAGGGGTAATTTTCATTTTTCTTGGCTGCCATACGCCCTCAAAGGCAGCCTAGATACAGCAAACTAATCTGACAAATTCCATTGTGAAAAAGCATAAATGGATAAGCTGTTTATATGACCCTGTAACTTTTAAAAACCCCATAAAACCTGTACATGGGGGGTACCGTGGTGCTTGTGAGACATCACTGAACAGAACTAGGAGTGTTTCAGGGCAGTAAACTATATACAGATGTTAATATTATCAGTAAAAGTACAGTTTTTAAGTGAAAAATGCAACAACAAAAAACCTAACACTGATTTTGGCTAGCATTTGTACCCAAGTGGCTACTACAAAAGACTAGCCATACCCCATTTTGAATACCTTGGGATGTCTACTTTTTCATATGGTATGCCATCAAGGGGTAATTTTCATTTCTTGGCTGCCATATGCCTTCAAAGGCAGCCTAGACACAGCAAACTAAACTGACAAATTTCATTGTGAAAAAGCATAAATGGATAAGTCGTATATATATGACCCTGTAAAATTCAAAAAAACCATAAAATCTATACATGGGGGGTACCGCGGCACTTGTGAGACATCACTGAACAGAACTAGGAGTATTTCAGGGCAGTAAACTATATACTGACAATAATATTATCAGTAAAAGTACAGTTTTTATGTGAAAAATGCAAAAAAAAAAAAGAACACTAACTTTGGCTAGCATTTGTGCCCATGTGGCTACTACAAAAGACTGGCCATACCCCATTTTGAATACCCTGGGATGTCTACCTTTTCAAATGGTATACCCTTAGGGGGTAATTTTCATTTCTTGGCTGCCATACGCCCTCAAAGGCAGCCTAGACACAGCAAACTAATCTGACAAATTTCATTGTGTAAAGGAAAAATGGATAAGCCGTATATATGACCCTGTAACTTTCAAAAAACCAATAAAACCTATACATGGGGGGTACCGTGGCACTTGTGAGACATCACTGAACATAACTAGGAGTTTTCAGGGCAGTAAACTATATACTGACAATAATATTATCTGTAAAAGTACAGTTTGCATGTGAAAAATGCAAAAAAAAAAAAAAACACTAACTTTGGCTAGCATTTGTGCCCAAGTGGCTACTACAAAAGACTGGCTATACCCCATTTTGAATACCCTGGGATGTCTACTTTTTCAAATAGTATGCCATTAAAGGGTAATTTTCATTTTGTGGCTGCCATACAGTCTCAAAGGCAACCTAGGCCCAGCAAACCAATCCGTGGAATTTCTATGTAAAAAATAAATAAAGACGTATATTTGACCCTGCAACTTTCCAAAACACAATAAAACCTATACATGGGGGTTACTGTTTTACTCATGTATGTTTTATTACAGTAAAACCAAACAGTATTGTGACATTATCAGTTAGATTGACATGCAGAAATTGAAAAATATCAAAATTTCTTAATTTTTTAAAACTTTTTTAGATTTCATTCATATAAAATGGAGTTCTATATATGAATGTTTGATATGGAATGAAAGCCCTGTTTTCCCTGAACAAACCGATATATAATAAGTGTAGGTGCATTTAATATGAAAGAGGTAAATTATAGTTAAACAGACATAGAGTCAACTTCTGTGGTTTGTTTACATTTTGTTTTGATCACAACTTGCACATTTGGCTCCGTCCTTAAGGGGTTAAAAGCTGCTATTCACTGTTTAGTAAACAAATATTTGCTCAACCTATGTTTCTTAATCTGTTCCATCTAGATTTAAAGTATTTCAAATAAATTTGTTTTTCCTATGGGAAACTGCTAAATTAAAATCTATGCTGAAATGTATTCCTAATTATAGTTTTTCATTTAATAGGTTTGTTTGTAAGAAAAAAAATGATTATTGTAATTCTGCAGGCATATTGATTTTGTATAGTACATTTAATAATGTTCTGTAATATTGTAGTTAAATCTAGTTGAAAATAGCTCTACCCAATGTATAATACATAACTTTAGTGTTACCGAAAATGAATTTAAAGGAACACTATAGTCACCTAAATTACTTCAGCTCAATAAAGCAGTTTTAGTGTATAGATCATTCCCCTGCAATTTCACTGCTCAATTCACTGTCATTTAGGAGTTAAAACACTTTGTTTCTGTTTATGCAGCCCTAGCCACACCTCCCCTGGCTATGATTGGCAGAGCCTGCATGAAAAAAAAAACTGGTTTCACTTTCAAACAGATGTAATTTACCTTAAATAATTGTATCTCAATCTCTAAATTGAACTTTAATCACATACAGGAGGCTCTTGCAGGGTCTAACAAGCTATTAACATAGCAGGGGATAAGAAAATCTTAATTAAACAGAACTTGCAATAAAGAAAGCCTAAATAGGGCTCTCTTTACAGGAAGTGTTTATGGAAGGCTGTGCAAGTCACATGCAGGGAGGTGTGACTAGAGTTCATAAACAAAGCGATTTAACTCCTAAATGGCAGAGGATTGAGCAGTGGGGCTACAGGGGCATGTTCTATACACCAAAACTGCTTCATTAAGCTAAAGTTGTTCAGGTGACTATAGTGTCCCTTTAAGTATAAAGTCTTACACTACTTACTATTTCCAACCAGCAATTATGTTTTTGAATGTTTCCGCAATGGAAGAATGACATTCCATATCGCAGAGCATAACCAGTTTTATTAAACAGTATTTAAATTATAATACAGAACCATTTTAGAAACGTTCAATGCATACATGTATTTGATGTAGGAAATACTGTAGTATTAATTTATCACGTTTGTTAAAAAGTTACATGCACATACTATAAAGACTCTTGTCCATGATCTTTTATTAACTGACATTTAAAGACAAGTTGCTACAAAAATGACATTGTAGGTGTTCATTATTTTTAATGTAATATCTTTTATTTTTTTTCCCTAATAAAATTTCTTGATGAAAGTTCAATGAGCATCAATCAGCATCAAGATGGCACCCATGGTACTAAATTTGTGATGTCTAAGGACATTTTGTTTTGTTTTTTTCAAGCCAGCTGAAATCATTACATTTCTCCTTATATTCTTATGTTAAGGGATAACATGACTATAGGCATATTTAAGCACTGGTTTCCAAGCAACTTAACACAAAGTAACATTGTCATGGATAGAGCCTTAGAATTAGTTATTTTTATAATAATAAATATTTGATTAAACTTTAATTGTATCTTATAGAAATATTGATAATGAAATAAAAATGCATAACTTTGAAATAAAACAGGAATTGATTTTACTAATCCACTAATATCTACTTCATGCAAACATATACCGTGGTAAATCCAGAAGGGTGATTTAAAGTTATTCAAATAGAAACACAATTCAACCTTAGTATATTTTCCAATTCATCAGAGCTGATGTTCTTAAAAAACATCAAATGTAAATTTCTATGCATAAAATATATTTCTGGCCTTGAATCCATTGACATTGTATCCTGTTAACAAGTCCGCACTGGCAGTTGAGCAACCAGAGTAAATGCTCAGTAAGCCTCGATGGCCACTGGCCAAGGCCAACAACGGATATCAAATGATCTCCACTGTCAGCTCATGCAGGACTGATGCTAACCAAGCACCAACCTGTTTGGTTGAGGAGTACATCAAATATATCTCTCACCAGCCTGTTTTTGTCCCAGCTTAGCCCTTACTGCTACTCTAGGCCAGATTTCCCATTAGACAGAGTTGGCACCTGCCTAAAGGGGCCTTTTTGGAGATTAAATGGGCTGATTGGAGATTCAAGTACCGGGAACCATGACCAAGGTTCTCAGTGGTCCATTCAGCCTCCTCTGCTCTAACAGAACTGTAGGAACAGTTATGAAGGACATAGTCCTATATAGTCAGTTTGTGAGGCTGGACAGGATGTGAAAGGGATAATTTTCTATCTGCCCACTAACAGCCTGTCACACAGGTTGTGCCCTGCAGTAGGAGCATGGGGACAGCAATGAGTAACACACATTGTATAACACAGGGGTCAAGTCCTGGGTGAAAAAGTGTGGGAACTCACCCAAGATACCTGCCCCCCCCCCCATCTCCCAAAAAACTAAAAAAAAATTATACTACTATGCATATAGTGCAGTGCAGGGTGTGTATAATGAATGTAGTGTGTTTTTAGTGAGTGCAGTGTGTATAATAAATGTACTGTGTTTGTAGTGAGTGCAGTGTGTATAATAAATGTAGTGTCTTTGTAGTGAATGCAGAGTGTGTATAATGAATGTAGTGTGTTTATTGTGAGTGCAGTGTGTGTATAATGAATGAAGTGTGTTTGTAGTGAATGCAGTGTGTATAATGAATGTAGTGTGTTTGTAGTGAATGCAGAGTGTGTATAATGACTGTAGTGTGTTTGTAGTGAGTGCAGAGTGTGTATAATGAATGTAGTGTGTTTGTAGTGAGTGCAGTGTGTATACTAAATGTAATGTGTAGTGAGTGCAGAGTGTGTATAATGAATGTAGTGTGTTTGTAGTGAGTGCTGCGTGTATAATAAATGTAGTGTGTTTTAGTGAGTGCAGAGTGTGTATAGTGAATGTAGTGTGTTTGTAGAGAGTGCAAAGTGTGTATAATGAATGCAGTGTGTGTAGTGAATGTAGTGTGTTTGTAGTGAGTGCAGTGTGTATAGTGAATGAAGCGAGTGCAGAGTGTGTATAGTAAATGTAGTGTTTGTAGTGAGTGCAGAGTGTGTATAATGAATGCAGAGTGTGTACAATGAATGCAGTGTGTGTAGTGAATGTAGTGTGTTTGTAGGGAGTGCAGAGTGTGCATAATGAATGCAGAGTGTGTATAGTGAATGTAGTGAATGCAGAGTGTGTATAAGAAATGCAGTGTGTGTAGTGCATGCAGAGTGTGTATATTGAATGTAGTGTGTTTGTAATGAGTGCAGAGTGTGTATAATGAATTTAGTGTGTTTGTAGTAAGTGCAGATTGTGTGTAATGAATGCAGTGTGTGTGTGTGCTGGAAGATGCGTGTGTGCTGGAAGATGTGTGTGTGTGTGTGTGTGTGTGTGTGCTGAATGATGTGTATGTGTGCGTGTGTGTGTGCTGGATGATGGTTGTGTGTGTGTGCTGGATGATGTGTGTGTGCTGGATGTTTTGTGTGTGTGTGTGTGCTGGATGAAAGGGGGGGGAAGCATTTTTTTTTTTTAAATGTATGTGTTTATATTCTAACCTTGCCAGGAAGGGGGGAGATTGCCTGGTGGTATGGTGGAGAGAGACAGCCGCTGCACACGGGGGCCCAGCACACTCTGTGTTCCCTCTCCAGGCCCTTTGTATATCTCTTTCTTCCTACCACAACCTTTGTGTTTCTCTTACTTCCTCATCAGCTCCTTTTGTGTGTCTCTTTTCTCCTCACAGCCCTTTTGTGTCTCTTTCTTCCCCCCAGCCACTTTCTGTGTCTCTATCTGCCCTTAGCCCCTTTCTGTGTCTGTTTCTCCCACCATGAGCCCCTTTGCCTGGCTTTTTCCTCCCAAACCATACAGACATAGATATACAGGTACAAATACATACATGCACAAAGGCACAACCATACAGGCAAGTAGTCATAAAAGGAACACAAACAAAACACAGTCATACAAGCAACCAGTCATGCACAGACACACAGACAGTCATACACAGACATACAGGCAACCGGTCATACAGAGACACGCAGACAGTCATACAGAGACACGCAGACACAGTCATACAGAGACACGAAGACACAGTCATACAGAGACACGAAGACACAGTCATACAGTGACATACAGAACAAGGCATTCAGACACAGTTATACAGAGACATACAGACGCAGTCATACAGAGATTTACACACAGTCATAAAGAGACAAACAGAGACATACATAAACAGACATATACTGTTAGTGATGAGAGGAGGAGAGGGATGGCTGCTAGTGATGGGAGGGAGAGAGAGGGACGGCTGCAAGTGATGGGAGCGAGAGAGGATGATAGCTACTAGTAACAGAGAGAGGAGGATTGCTGTTAGTAATAGGGGTGAGAGTAATGGCGGGTAGTGATGGGGAGAATGTGTGGCTGCTAGTGATGGGGGAGAAGGGGATGGCTGCTAGTGATGGGGGAAAGGGGATGGCTGCTAGTGATAGGGGTGAGAGAGGGGTGGCTGCTAGTGATGGGGGAGAGGAGGATGGCTGCTAGTGATGGGGGAAAGGGGATGGCTGCTAGTGATAGGGGTGAGAGAGGGGTGGCTGCTAATGATAGGGGAGAGGAGGATGGCTGCTAGTGATGGGGGAAAGGGGATGGCTGCTAGTGATAGGGGTGAGAGAGGGGTGGCTGTTAGTGATAGGGGAAAGGGGATGGCTGCTAGTGATAAGGGTGGCTGCTAGTGATAAGGGTGAGAGAGGGGTGGCTGCTAGTGATAGGGGTGAGGGATGAATGGCTGCTAGTGATAGGGGTGAGGGATGGATGGCTGCTAGTGATCAGGGTGAGAGAGGGGTGGCTGCTAGTGATAGGGGTGAGGGATGGATGGCTGCTAGTGATAAGGGTGAGAGAGGGGTGGCTGCTAGTGATAGGGGTGAGGGATGGATGGCTGCTAGTGATGGGGGGAGAGGAAGCATAAGAGGAATAGAAGTGAGGTGGCACTGTTGGACCAATAAAACACAGAGCTCCACATGAACTATAAGATTTAGCTCTGTGGAGCTCTGTGCTAGGTACATTATTATTTCATGAAAAAATAAATAAAACATGGCTGCTTACCGTTGGTGGTGTGTAATTATCTGAAAAGAGATGTTCTTAGCTCTCCCTGCTCGGTAATCCTCTAGCAGGGCCTGACAGGAAGCGATGTTAAACGCCCCGCCCACTGCAGTCTTTACTCACTCATCAGTAAACTACCGCAGGGGAGAGTAGTGTGAGCAGGCACCTGTCCTGCAGGATCACTAGCAGGAACGGCGTTCCTGCTTTGGAAAAAGTGCAGGAACGCCGTTCCCATGCGTTCCTGCAGGACTCGAGCCCTGATGTGACTGCTGACAAAAGCAGCAGGATGAATTCTGAAGTGTTTCGGGCAATATTATCTGCTCATATTCAGCCAAATGCTTCAGAACTTGGACGGCGCTTCACAGTGCAATGACCCGAAGCATACTGCAAAAGCAACCAAAGAGTTTTTAAGGGAAAGAAGTGGAATGTTAGTCCACCTGACCTGAATTAGATTGAGCATGCATTTCACTTGATGAAGAGTGAAGGGAAAATGCCCCAAGAACAAGCAGGAACTGAAGACAGTTGCAGTAGAGGCCTGGCAGAGCATTACCAGGGATGAAACCCAGCGTCTGGTGATGTCTATGCGTTCCAAGCTTCAGGCTGTAACTGACTGCAAAGGATTTGCAACCATGTATTAAATAGTGAAAGTTTGATTTATGACTGTTAATCTGTCCCATTACTTTTGGTCCCTTGAAAAGTGGGAGGCACATATACAAACTGTTGTAATTCCTACACCGTTCACCTGATTTGGATGTAAATACCCCCAAATTAAAGCTAAAAGTCTGCAGTTAAAGCACATCTTGTTTGTTTCATTTCAAACCCATTGTGTTGGTGTATAGAGCCAAAAAGATTAGAATTGTGTCGATGTCCCAATATTTATGGACCTGACTGTAGATGCTTATACTACAGGGACGTTGAATGCTTCAATCTGATTGGTTGACAAATGTTCTAAGTTGTTGTAACAGAACCTTCCGTTGACGGACGCTTCCTAGCTTGCACCGAGGACCACAAGCACCGCACCGGACACCACAACCACCGCAGACTCTACAACCGCCGTAGCTTAACTGGAGTCTCGCCGTCTTCCTTCCACCCTGGATCAGCTTCTGTCCTCCAGGACTGTGTGGGGAAGACCTCTTCTCCAGGAGCGCGTATCAGGAACAAACTCTTAAAATAGCTAAGTGATTAAAGCTCAAGGGAGTATGCAGAGCATAGCAATCCCCAGTGTGAGTATAGCTGTACCCTCCAATCATGAGACAAGACTACGTGTTGAGGGTCAAGAAGATCTGTCTGTACTGGCACATACAGCCTCTTTTATTCACATTCTACAAACATAGTACTGCTCACAGGGTTTTGAAGAACAACCAATCAACACATTACAACACAGCTAACATTCCCATTCATTACATCAGAAATCCTTCCCTCTGCCTGTGATACAATTATCTCAACGCAATAGACTAACTTAATCATCACAGGCAGGAAAATACAGTATTATAAAACGTATCACAGGGACCCCAAAACATGCAATAACCCCATTGGAAGATACGGTTTAATGCAGATTCCGCAGAACATATACAGGCTATATGAAAAATAATTACTGTTAAATGTGTCCCCTGTTCTGTAGTTTAAAACTACTGAACAATGTCTTTGTGTACCAAATACCAGCGAGATGGCACCGTGTAGAAAAGTCAAAACAGTGTCTGTGAGTTAAAATGGCTGCCATCCATTGTTCTCACATGTGCTTCATCCATTGTTCTCACCATGTGCCTCTGACACATGAAATGGTGGCCACCCAGTAACTCCACAGTTTGTCTGATAGTCTATCCAGCCGAACCAACAGATGAAACACATAGGGAACAGTGCAACAAACGAAGGGAATCATAAAAAATATGGACAATAGTCATATTTGTGCACAATCTCCAGTTTTGTCACAGGGCACAAATAGTGTTTTCAAATGCCATATATCCCAGGGCCATAGTCACGTGGCAGGAGGCTGGCAATTAGTCCTTTCCAATGCCCAGTGGCAAATGGCAGTTTGTCACAGTTGTGCATTATTTTCAGGGAGAAGCACGGCTAAAGTAGTTCCAGACAGGTCTTGACCGCATTACAGTTGCGTAAGAAATTAGTCCCTACATACAAGAGCGTTTTAATGACAAAAACTTGACAAACGTCTTGAAATACATCATCTGAACAATGTTTCAAGGTGTAGTAACTGTAGCATAAGCGGAATAATTTACTCCAGGCCGTCAAATTATGAGAAAAAATAATGCACACCCGAGGTATAACGGACACTCCGCTTCGCGTCGTGACCACATTACCACCTCAGGTGTGCATTATTTTTCTAATAATTCAACGGCCTGTCATCAATTATTCCTTACTTGTGCTGTGGCTCTTGGACCATGCAGAGTGCTTCAGTATTACCGTTTGCAAAGTCTGCCCTTGGTGGGACTTTCCAGCAGGCTGTCAGTCGGCCTGGCGTGCATTAACTCTTGGATGATCATCTCTAGGTAGTCTCAAACCCTTTCTATGTGGAGCACCCCTTTTTTGGCATCACATATGGAGCAAGTGGCATTAATGACACACATATTTAGGCCTACATAAACCATGTCCAAGAATTTATACATGTGCTTTGTAGGTTCCATGAGTTATTTAGCTGGGTTCTCTGTCATATAATAAATGGAGACATTGATTCTTATTTGTAGTTTGAGTATATCAATTTTTGGGTTGACTTCCACTAGAGGACTGTTAGGCTGGGAAAATCTCCACAGGGTCTAGAAACCCTTATGCTGCCATGGCCTTACGCAATAACAAAGAAGATCTTTCTGCTTTCCAATTAACTCTCCAGCTGCTGGGATACTTAAAGGACCACTATAGGCACCCAGACCACTTCAGCTTAATGAAGTGGTCTGGGTGCCAGGTCCATCTAGGATTAACCCTTTTTTTCTGTAAACATAGCAGTTTCAGAGAAACTGCTATGTTTACCTATGGGTTAATCCAGCCTCTGGTGGCTGTCTCATTGACAGCCGCTAGAGGGCTTCCGCACTTCTCACTGTGATTTTCACAGTGAGAAGACACCAGCGTCCATAGGAAAGCATTGATAATGCTTTCCTATGGACTGGCTGAATGTGTGTGCGGCTCTTGCCGTGCATGCGCATTCAGCCGGTGACGGAAGAAGAGGGAGGAGAGGAGGAGGAGAGCTCGCCTCCCGGTGCTGGAGAAAGAGGTAAGTAAAGGTAAAACGAGTATGTTTTCCTGGCACTATAGTGGTCCTTTAAAGAATCATACCACACAGATATTGTATCAATAGGAATTCAAAGGTTTAATGCGTCGTACATCGGATATATAAAACACAGTTTGTCTAGCGGGGTGTATACAGCAACGAAAACAGTAACCAATCATAGAAGTCTCAGAACCAAAAGTATAATTTT